TTTTAGTCATAGATTAAAATTGTTGATTAAATAAAGTATTAGCATGATTGCTGAAAAAAAAAAAAAAAAAAAAAATTTTAGTTACTCCTTTCATATTTCATCTCTTTTTTGGTATACTCTTATTTTATAGAGTATACTTAATTTATTCTAAACTTCTTCTTTCTGAAAGAGATTATATTACAGAATTAAATCCTTTCAATATCATGTTCTTTCAAGCATCTATTAATAACATATTTCAAATGGGAAATGATATTGAAAATACTATCAATGACTTTGTTGATATTAAGATAAAAATAGAAGATTTTTCTATAATACAAGTTTGTATCATAGATGACATATTTTATTCATCTGATAATAGAAGATTATATTGTTTTTAAGAAGCTATTCAAAGAGGGTTAAATATTAATAAGATACCTGTTAAAGTTTGTAGAATTGCTGACTTGAATATAGATTAGAAGAAAAATGGGTCATATAAAATTGTTAGAAATAACAATTTTAAAAATATTATAGTATCTAAATTTACAAGAAACAGTCGAATTATTGATGATAAAGGATACTAAGACTTTAATGAAGAGTAGTTTTATTTTTTTATTTTTATATCTGTATATACATATTTTTTTTAAATAAAAATCCAAATATATTTACAATAACAAATACGCAGTTACAAAATTTATTTATATTGTTAATCTAAAAATTAAAACAAAGAAATTTATCTAACAATTGTCTAAATAATATTATTGTATATTTAATGAAATTACTAAAAATAGAATTAATCATATAATCATTTAGGAACATACTAGAAAAAATTAATCACAGATCGCAGTAAATATTTCATTATAAAACAAAAATATGAACAAATAATAATTTTTTTTAAAAATGTCTTTACAAGAAATAGAAATCATAAAAGAAGCAAATGATAACTTGTTAACTCATCTTCTAACAAGACTATCTATAATCGTTAAGAAAAAATTCACTACTGAAAAAGTTCGATATATCTTGAATTATCTTGAACAAAATAAAGGAACTTCAATTGAAACTAAAGATGAAAAAAGCAAACGATATACAAAATTTTTCAGAAATATGATCTTTCATTTTATGCCAGATAGTGAAAAACATCAAGATGCTTTAGAGAACCTTCCATATTTTGAAGATTTGTAAAGATAACTTTATTATGAATATACAAAATAAGATATACAAATATGATAAGATAACAAGATAAGAAAATTAATCGTCAAACTTTTCATTGTCATAAATATCTGGAGTAGACATTCTTTCAGAATAACTACTTTCATTTTCCTAACTATTATTATTTACTTGAGGAAAAATAGTAGGTAAAGAAACTTTTGAATCAAAATAGATATTATCATCTATATTATTTTCATGAAAATAACTATAGAAAATATTACAAGCATTATTAAATGCTTGTCCGAACTAATCGCTTAAGAATAATATCATCTCAGATATTTCATTATATTTTTTTTCAAGTTTGTATTTTTCTTCTTTTATTTCTAAAAGCTCACATAAAATATCTTCTTTTTCATCTTTAAGATTCTTGATTATTATGATATAATCTTTACTAAGTTCTTCATTTTTATTCTTCAAAGTTTTGATTTGATTCTTTAAATCGTTGAAAATTTTCTCATATTCAGAGTTAATTTCTTCAAATCTTTCATAATTATTAGAAGTCATTTTAGTTATTTTAGTTTCTGTTGATTCAATAAGATATTTTCTTTTCTTTCTTCATTTGTTTGCTATGATTTGCAGATGATTAAAAATAGTTTCTTTATTCTCAATTTGGAATGAGATATTAGACATTTAAAGTTATATACAGATTCTAAGTATTTTTATATTCTTTAAGAATTAAGAATAAACAAGTTTTTAAACCTGAAATTGAAAAAATTTTTTTTTCATGAATTGATAGGTTCATTCGATTTTCAATCATAATAATATTTTACAAGATTATTAGTTCTTCATTATCAATAATTTTTGTAATATTATATGTCAATCTAGAATTTAAAGTTCTCAGAATGCAAATCTATTCATCCTCAAGAGGATGTTCATATTAGATTATCTATTTGTAATCTAACTATTTAAAGAAAATCTTTAAAAGAACTCGTGATCAAATCATATGATTAAAAATAGAAAATAAGTAAGTTTAATTTGACTAATATATTTTGTGATAAAACTGAGTATTTTAGAAATTGACTAATTATAACTTAGTATTTAAATATGTTTTGCATTAAAAACTGAATACTTTGAAAACTGACTAATCAGATTTTGGTATCTGAGTTTGAATTATCTAAGTTTATTGAAATCTAAATTTAAGTTTTTTAATTTCTCAAAGTGTGAAAAATTTCTAGAGTTTTTTGTAGAGTTCATTCAAAATATGAAAATGAGTTTTTTTTTAATTTTTCAAAGCATGAAAATGAGTTTTTTTTAATTTTTTGAAGCATGAAAATGTTTAATTTAATTTTTTCAAAATATAAAATATATTTAATTTAATTTTTTTAAAGTATTGTTTAATAATACAAATATTTATTAATTTTCTTTATTTTTCGCAAGAAGAATAAAACTTATACAATAGTTCAGTTCTATTTCTAGATAAATACAAAACTTTTAATAATCCCATAAGAAGCATATCATCGAATTGTAAATTTAAATTTTCTTGAAATAGTTTTTTTTTTTTGAATGACACAATCATTAAATAATTGTTCATAGTTTTGCTCAGAATAAACAAAAGAAAATAAAAATAAAAATATCAACAAAAAAGTTTTTAGTTTCATTTTTAATTTTTTTTCTTAAAAAATAGATGTTGTTTTTATAGATAGTTTTTTTTAAAACTATCAAATTTTTATTTAATAAAATATAAAATTTATAAAATGAATATTTTAAAAATTTGTTGAAATAATTTAATAAAATCAAATATATGAATAAAAATACAATTTTGAATCAGAATTTTCTTTAAAAATTAAATTCGAGTTTTAATTCTTCATCAAGAATTGACCTCTGTTTAAGATTTAATAGTAATTTATTATGTGATTTTTCTAAATTTGCTACTCAGATCTTCAAATCTTGAATCTCTTCTTTATCTCTTTGAACTTCTTTAGTGAGCTCAACAATATGTTTTTCCATATATTGAGGCTTAAAAATAACACACTTCTTATCTTGTCTTGTACAAAGACTACAATTTTCTTTACTATCTTCTTTTTCATATTTTATTCTACATTTTCGACAATTTAAACATGATGTTTTCTTAGTAAATATTTTTACTTTATGTATTTTTTCTTTTTTACTTACAGGTATCTAGTTTTTATTTCTTTAAAAGAATAAATTATTTCCTACGTAATTTTCTTTTTATACTTTCTACAAACAATTTTTTTAAAAAAATCTATAGTTTTTTAATTTATTTAAATTAATAAAATATTTTATTTAATATTCATATAAAAAACTAAACAATTAATCATTAATAAATTTAAAAGATTATACAATTTTAAAATATCAACTTGTTTTTTTTTTAAATTTTATTATAAAAAATAATAACAAATAAAAGTAAATACAAAAAAAATTTATTCATTATGAACAAGACTATTATACTTAGTATTAAGCTTAAAATATTTATCTCTGTATTCTTCTAACTTATTATTAAGATTCTTGATATTTTCGTATAATGATAAATTTATTTTTCATCCTTTAATAATCAGATTTAACCTTTTGATATCGATTTCATTTTGATTTTTGCTCAGATTATTCAGTTTGGTTTTCTCAATAATTTTGTTTAAGCTTGGTTTAATTTTTGCTTTTGTTTCATTAATTTTCTTTTGAACTTTGATCAGAGAACTTTGAAGATTATGATTTTGTTTGATGATAGAATCAATATCATCAATAATATTAGACATGTTTCTATCTTGTAAAGAAAATAATAAAAAAAAATATTAGTTAGTAAATAATATTTTAAACAAAAGATTATAAAAAAATAAAATAAAAATCATAAGTCTAAAACAAAAAAAGAAGCTGACAAAAGAAAAACCAGTTAAAATGATTGAGAACTAAGTAATGACAAGAGGTTAAGAAGATTTTAATGAAAGACTTGAGAATATTATCATCAAAATAGTTAGAGTTGGAGCTAAAGACTTAGCTAGCATTGTTTCTAATCATGTTTTTTTTAAAAAAAGTATACGTAAAGAAAGAAATATTAACCTTCAATAGTAATTTTTCGTTCACTCTTCCTGACGATCCTTAAACCAAAAATGCTAGAAAAGAAAAAAGACTTTTATATATATAAATATACTCTATCTT